ATATATATATATGCAATTATGTAGCTATTTTAAATGGACAACCTGGTTTCTAAGAAAATATAAAAAAGGACAAAACTATTTAATTTGTGATGTAAATGTCTGTAAATTGGCAGTGAAGTTTAGACACTCCACAATGGGCCCCACCTGAAATCTTGCCTGTAGGGTCAGCCCCAGAGTCAACCCATCTGAAGATGCTGCCTCAGCCTCAGCAACACAAAAAGCAAGAACCATGTCAGTTTTGCAGAATGTTGAAGTAAATTCAGTCTGGTAGTAGCTGAGAGTCATCCCCAGCATCTACTTTTTGTGTAAATAGATCATTCACACGAAACTTGTATGATTCCTTCTGTTGTTTTGTTCTTGATTTCAAATAGTTTTGTTTTCTCAAATATGGAGATTGTTCAAGTTTAAGTTGTTTGAAGTTGTTTTTTTATAAGGGGCAGATATAAGATTTATTCTTCTCTCTGAACCCTTTTCATTCAATAATTACTTTGTTTTTTGAATACTTTTGTTGCTTTAAAGAATGAAATAAATGAATTAAGAGAATGAATGCACATATTGTAAGAACATGAAACAACAGAACAATTACAGCTCCATCATTTCTCATCAGATGATCCGAGTCTTTATCTTTGGTCTGAAAGGCAGCAGGTGATCTAAAGAAAAAGCTACGTCCCACTTTCAAACAGGAAAACTTGGCCCCGGCTTCTTTTTTCTGTTGTCAAATCAGCTCTGAAACTGCTTTACACCAACCAGCCATAACATTATGACCATCAGATAATCCAATTTCCATCACTAAGATGACAGATTTAGATCGTCGGACCCAAAGATGCCATCAGTTATGTTGTTTCAATTGTTCCTTAACATTTTTGCACATCCAGTTAACAAGTACAATCCCTGAGTGCCACGGAGTGGGGTCTCTCCTCAGATTGTATCTTTGAGACGAAACGAGGAGTGTTAATGACTTTCCTTGTTGGTGGTTGAAACCAGATTGTACTTATTACTGTATTTGTCATGTACGCGCACGCCTCCCGAGCGATCTCATGTGACAAATCAGCCGGCCTTTAAAGGTTACTCACACAGCTTCAACAGGTAGCAGATGAAACGGCTCCACTCTCTTAATGCTCCATCACACGAAGGAGGATCTGCTCTTACATGTGCTGCCTGCTGGCGCCCAGGAAAACGTGATGACATTTGTCAYGCCGCGCTGACATTTTTAAAGCTGTTCTGGTGCCGATGCACTGAAATGAGATGTCATGTTGCCCCACAGTAACCCTTTTCTCTAAAAACTCCTTTAATGCTGACATTTTAAGATTGGGTGGGTTTCAATTTGACTCGGTTTGACGCTTCGCTCAAAATAACCGCGTCTTAATTTTTAACAATAACAAGCTTTTAAAAAGTTAAAACAGAACGGCATCGATGAGAATTGCAAAACCAGTGTTTTAATTATATTAATACTCAAATGAATATGGGTCATGAAATACTTTTAAAAGGTTGAAACAGTTCAAGGCAAAAAAAAAAAAAAGAAGCACAAAATAACTAATACGTTTTAGGTAATTAAGGTAGACTGAAATAATAAATTAAATGTGTTTAATGCTGAGTAAAATAAAAATGGGTGAGAAATATACAAATTTAGCATTTTATAAATCCCTGCCATTCAAAAACAAAACAAACCACAAATCAAAGTAAATTATTTAGCAGAGTAAAAAGAATACTGAAGATCACCCACAATCGATACCTCTCATTGTTAGCGTCAGCCGTTAGTGATGTGTTGTGCAGGTTTTTCTACGTGCTCGGGTGATTTTGGTGAATTTGGCATGAAGAATAATTTCCTCTCCAGACTGCGCTTCGCAGAGTCTTTCGCAGCAAAGTAAACGTACGCACCGACGACAAATAAGACAAGGAAATGACAAAGAGGCACAGAGGGGCGTTTCTCAAACGACAAATTTGTTCTTGGTGGTTGAACCGCTTTTGGTGGCCGTGTCTGCGTGAGACTGGTAGCCGATCGTCATCTTCATGGGGAGTCCCAGCCGCTCCTTGTAAACTCTCCTGCGGACGTGGAGAAGACGGCGTAAAATATCCGTGTTGCATTTAAAGAGTGAATGTTTGTTGAGAATCTGCATCACCCTATGTGTGTCACGGCCTCCCGGTTCTCGTAGTCGGATGTCCAGACGGCTATTTTATCTCCTTTGTTGCGAATGTTGACCACGGCTCCGCACACGTCGTCGCTGTAGTCGTCGAAAGCCTCTCCGACTAAACACAGGAGCTGTCGACGGGAAGGAGTCACAGTTTCAGTTAATTCAATTTTTTCAATTCAAAACATTTATTCATTTCATTAAAAAATAACTATATACAATATGAAAAACAAGAAAACCAAGAAAATACACAAATCAAAATAAAATGAAAGGTAGC